CTCTCAAAAAGTTAGTATTTTTTAATCTGTTTGTGTTGTACAGTGAGTTATCAGCTACAAGTGATGTTGAAGTTCACCACTGTGATAAGTTAATTTCTGTGTTGTGTTCATAATGATGACTATAGGCCGCACTCACTATGCACACTGTTGTTACTGTTTTTTCTAAATGCATAACATTATTTACTAAGATATTCTAGGGTTCTTTTTGTGACCGTTTTGTGACCGTTACAGAAGTTATTTGTTTGACAAGACTGATTTCCTTGAGTTCAGATACAAACAAACGAGCCACTCGATACAAAACCTAAACACTCATGCTTTAAAATGAGTTACTAATATTTTATGCTAGTGACCATGAAATAAATGTTTGCTTCAATTAAATCGTAACGTTCTGTATTGTTCAAATGAGACAAGGTCTCACTGTTTTAGTATTTTTTGTGAAACAAGCATATGAAACATGTGGAGGTATGTGCTAGATGAAGTAAAGAAATTTGTTAACCATATGAAGATTGGTTGTTTAAACTTTTTCTGTAGTTTTGTATAAATGTATCTTGAAGATTTGAAGGCATTTTCAGAAAATAACCATCGAACAAACTAAATAAGGTAATATAATATCTCTTTCATCAAGTAACTTAACCTTTACAATCATTAAAATTGCACTGGCCAACTGACTTATTGGTTTTACAATTTAAAATGAGGTATTTTCATATCGTGTGTTCAACCTGTTATCCTGACTTCCACCTCCTTGTACTAATACATTCTTGACAAATTCTCATTTCTTTATAAAAATTAATCTTACATATTATTCAAAAGCTAAAAACATTTTGTTCTCAGTTACATCGAACAATTACAATTTCATGTTATATTTAGAGTTGATTTCATCCACTTACAATAGATTTAACTTTTAAACTAAACCCTGTCTCTATTTTTTAAATAACAGTCGTATGTGCATTCACCTTCCGTACATTATGGTATGCAAATAAAAATCAGTCATCAATTCGTTATGATTAACAGTATTACTGGCCTTCATTATTTAGTAGGATTGGTTGTCGTATAGGATTAAGGTTCGGAATTGAGTTGAAAAGTCGGATTCCATGAAGGCGAGATCAAAATGAAAACATGTGCCCTAATATAAATAGTTAATTTGTTTTAATTCTTCCCTGATCTAGTTTTCATTTAAATAAAAGTCTAAATTTTGGTATAAAACAAGACAATGTATCCTTGAAGTCGTTCTTGTTTTTATCATCGCAAATTCTTACAAAGTCACTATGAACGCATTAAGACACCTAAAAATCATGGTGTTTGATCAGAACTCTGTCGTATTTAATGGTTTATATAACTACAAACTACTGATATTGTAAATAACGACACATCCATAACTGATTTGTAGGTTATTTGTTTATCTATTTTTTTTATTGTGTAGTCAGTCAATCTATATCGTATAACTGATACATTCGAACTTTTTAGTCCCTTTGGGTTTTCCTTTAAACTTATAAGATGACCTTAAGTAATGGATATTAATAAAATGTCAGTAAACTGGATTCAAACACGTTTTCATTTTTCAATAAGTGTACTTACCAAATTAAAATATAGCAATAGCCTACCTCTGTTGCTTTATTCCAAAATTTGGTTGATTTTTATGGTTCATCAGGAACCAAAGACAGTCGAGTTTATGGAAATATCAAAGCTCTTGATAAACCTATGAACTCAATGCACAACAGATTTGTAAATAAAACTTTGATTATTCTAAACCATAGTACTTTATTTCTGTCGGTTAATTCATGTTGCTTGTGAGCATTCTACAAAATACATTCTACTTACATGACGTTTCAAATTGTTATCCCCTATAGTTTTAACTTCTATCCGCATCTGTGACTATCATTCAAGCTTTGCTTCTACGTGCAGACTTGAACATCCTTGATGGAGTACATAAACCTTGAGTAAACATGACTGAGCAAACTGTGTTTCAAGTCAACTTTCTAACTATATTTTACCAATGAGGTTTTCTTTTGGTGTGTATGTGCCTTTCATGTCAGAATTCTGTGACTGAAATATTCACCCAGCTCGAGAATTTAGAAAACCGGTTTTCGAATTCATTTTAAATTAACCCATTTATTAGGATGCTAGCACTGAGTTCAAACGTTTATTTGTGTTGTACTTGAGAATAGTATACTGGTTACGCTATCAGTTACTAGCTCCCTATCGTACGCCGCAATAATTGATATCCTATAATGGTTCTTTTTAATCTGATTTAATGAAAAAGCTGATAGCTTATAGCAACTCATACATTTAAAAAAATAATAATACCACATCGCATATTCATCTCTTCGTTGCTGTGTTCAACTGTCAAGTACAACTATCCTTTGGAAAATCGGAAAGACAAAAATAACACCAAATTTGTTATATCATGAATTACTTCAAAAAACAACAGATGGCTTTAGTCCCGCCTTTATTTATGATAGTGATAACTGCTAACGAACTATGTTGTGATGAGAATAGAGGAATAGCAACGAAAAAAAACTTAGACCAACTGGCCATTGAGTTTTTTAGTTCAAACCGGTAAAAAGCTCAGCGGTGTTTTAATTATATCCTTTCCTAAGTATCCTGTTGAAATTACTTTATACATTCAAAATGCTAATGTTCACAGCTATGATGATTAGAAGTATTCAAATTATTGTACCAATTAGCAATTCCTGAAATGGTTCGACTTACAGAAAGTAGAACTAGATGAGCATAAACGGATATATTATATTTGGAATTCGAAACCGTCGGGCAACCAAGTACAAAGGAATCATTAGTTCATAAAATACCACAGATTGTCTATTCAGATTTGTAAATTTGTGAATATTTTGAACCCTTTCAATATATATAATTTCCAAGTCAGTACGTAATTATTCGCCTTAACTACTTAGCATCTGTATTGATATTACCATTTAACATTTATACGTGTTCAATATTTGTTTAGTCATTTTTCGTTTGATTCACAACAAAGGTTATCAGTCATCAAAGTTCAATACTTCTTTAATAGCTTGTTTGGTATTACGAGGCTTTCATAATTAGATTGGCAACCAAATAAAAAGGAATCATTAGTTCATACAAACACCACAGAAGCGTAAAACCTTAAGGTTGAAAAGCTGAAAACTACAAATTCACTCTAAAAATGAGCTTATGACGTTACTATAACTAAACTCAGTATCGTTATAATTATTTATATTTTTACATTTACATAGTTTACATGTGAAACTAAAAGCTGACTAAAACATTGTAAGTGTGAGAATCCAAACACTGACCAAATATCGACCTTTGAACCCATGTTGAATTTATAACTTCTTTAAATTCACCCATTTTGGGCCGAAACGATATGTAATGACTGACGGTCATGAGTTACTAATTTGAATAAATTCAAATAACTAGTTCATAAACTGAATTAGCCTTAAAATGTCCGTTTACATAAACAACTTAAAGTTCAAAGAATTCATATATCTAACAGTTCTCTGTTTACCATAACACTGAGTAAAATGAATATTATCGATATTGAAACCCCTGTCCTTCGTCATTTTGTCTAAATAAAGTGGATCTCATGAGAACTTTCTGTTAAATCTTCATTTATAAAAAAATTAATTCTTGAAACTCACGCAATGCCTGTATATAAAATATTCCTAATTATTTTGCGTTTTAGCATAAACTTTCAATGATGTGGAAGTGTGAAATTTACGACTTTCCTAAGGAAACCGTGGTAACCATTTCTTTAGAAAATGAATTCCTACACAACTCATCACACGGATAACATCGTAATCAAAAGTACATAATAGATCAAATAATGATGATATACATCAAAATCACTATCCGGTTTAAGTTAGGCGACCATTGAAAACCTAGAGGCATTGAATAGGCTCTTCGTCCTAGTATAGGACTCCTCGGTAGTGTTCACCTGGCTACACACCTATAACCCCGCGCCCGGGAGTCGCACTTAGAATCTTCGATGTTGTGCACGAGTGTCTGACCTCTAAACTATTGAGATGGCATCCAATGGTGTAAAAGTCTAGTTTCAATCAGCCCACGATATTGCATTATCATATCTCATTGTGTTTGGTGGGTACCTTCCTAAACCCCGACGCGGTCAGGTCCAGTGGTAATAGCTTATTAGAACTTTGGAAATTCCCTCTCGAAGCCAGTCTCTAGTGAGCACGTGACAATGGTCACTAGAGAGTTTTCGACATAGTCGAATTTCACTGAAACCACCAATCGATCTAAGTTAGACAACATTGAATATTGAAGATTATTAAGATTATTTAACCTCGTTGTGATATGAAAACCAATCTAAAGTATTTCAAGCATGAACGGCACTTATCAGAGAGGAATAGTTCACGGTTGTTGTATTCGAAATGACTTCATGTATTGTACATTATTTTACAGACTAATAATGAATTAGTTAAAAGGATATTTCATCCTTGAATCTTTTGTTTTTAAGTTTCATACCAATTAACGAAATTCTTGGAGATTTACCATTTCTGAATGACCAGTGACCATATGAAACTAGAATATGGAAATTTGCCAGTCATTTGCTTGAATTTGATTGTTTGCAGTAACAGGGATTCATACTTGTAAATAACAAAAGTACAAAGAGGTTACAAGTTCCTAAATAAAATGAAACATATGTCCTTCCTTTTCGGTGAATTTTCCTTGGGTCGTAGTTACCGATAAATTAAGCGGTCATTGAAGGTACCAAATTTCTGAAGTAAGGAATTGAACACTAAATTTGAACTTAAATTATTTTTAAACTTGACTTAATATGATATATTAAATGATCCCGTTCATCGTACTATTATGTTACAAATACGTAAGAAAAATAGTTTTAGCTTGTTTATAAAACAAACTTAACAAACCATATTGAATATTGAAATGACATTTGATGTATTCTAACTGACAGTAGTAATAAACAGAGTAACATTTTACGTGTGTAATTGTTTTTACCAACTAGTTTTGAGCAGAAATTGGTCAAAATGGATTCAAATTCTAATAATAAAGACGACACACTGAAAAAGGATGACGTAAAGGAGCGTTTTATAGAGGAAGTGGGGAAATTCGATTACATTCGTTTAAGTTTCCCAGATCTTAATGGGATACACCTCAGCAAGCTATTATCTACGCGATTTGCGAGGAAGATTGCAAAAGGAGAGAGTGAAGTCTACTCAGGAGCAATAACAGGCGGTCCTCGAGGTGAAGTAAGTATAAGTGTGAAATTTTATCGCAATCAGATACAATGTATCCTTGAACTTAAAGCGAATTAAAATCGTTACCCGAAATTATAGCTTCACTTTGGAAACAAACGAATTTATTTACTTGGAAACATTTTTTCGAAGCAGTTCACTGAAACAGACACTGAAATAGAACATAGGTATTTAATCTTGTTTTCGGTAGGGACTATAGTGGGGATATATTGGGAAAGGTAATGAAAAGTGGTAACATAGTTGGTGAAGAGGATTTATATCTCATAGTCAGCGAACGTTTTACGACTGAATTATCAAACTCGGTGAGATTAACTTCCCCAAAGTAACATGGGTTTACTTGTTTATTAAGTCATGTACGTAGGTTCAGTTTAACGATAACAGACACTGAATATTTAGTTCAGATTTCGACCCTACGATATTTTGATTCATCAGTACTTCTCGATAATTAGACAATCCAGAATAAGAACTTTTCCAGAATCGACTATACTGACTCGTTGACTGGCTCCTCGCTGAGGCATCTAAAGTGAGATATTACAATTGTTAAGACGTTGATGAAAGTGGTTAAGAATGGTAACAAATATTTTGTGTATTTGACCTGTAATTTTGAAATATAGATATAAAGCTATGAATTGAAACTTATGCTAAAATTTCTTGTAGCAGCTTGATAGTATAGACATGTTTAAGGAATTCTTACGACGATATAGAGATTTTATCGACGATAAACCTGTAATAGCAGAAATCGTGTAAATTATTGTTTTACTGTAGCGAATCCTTTTTCCATAAAATACTTTGCAGTGCAAAGTATACCTTACTTTTCCTGGTAATTGTTAAACTATCTGTTTAAGTGATATCTGTCCAATAGTTAACTTTTTCCCTATGAAACTAAATGTTATCAAAATATGATAAGTAAATTCAATTGAATTTCTGTACTTCACAGGTATTCGACGTGCCAGAGATAATAAAGAGGAAACACGTAAACAGTAAACTTAAACCTGATTTTTCGACTTTACATCCATGCTACTGGATTTCAAATGGAAAAGCTCAACATTCTCATAATAATAACACTGATAATGATGATAATCCTAGAACTAGAAAATATTCCATTTGTGCTGTTTTGTGTGATTTGGCCTGGCCAAATAATGAACCAATGAAAACTCACCCAAGAGTTGCAGTAAAAAAGCTTATTGATGAACTCCAAAATAAATACAATTTACGTTTGTTTTCTGCTTTTGAACCTGAATTTAGAGCTTTTCAAAAGGGCACATTTGAAACAACATGCCTAAAGCCTACAAAAACAGGTGAAACTAATATGCGTTCATTTAAAATTCCCGTCCCGTATACTAAGTTTGGTGATATATACAGGACAAGCCTACTATCAGTCTATGAAGACTTTTTCATTGATATTGATCACAACATGAAACTTGCTAACATTGACATTCAAGATTATAGTAATGAGGACGGAGAAGGACAGTTAGAATCTCCACTGGTACCATCTTGGGGACTATCCGCCGCAGATAATTATTTTATACTGAAGCAAGCTATTAAAGAAATAGGTGAAAAACACAATATAGAGATTTCATTTATGACTAAGCCCTTGTTGAACGCTAGTTCCAGTGGATGTCATTACAATCATTCGCTATGGTATGCCGATACTGGTCGGAATGCATTTTATGATAATGCAGGTAAATTTTGTTGTTACAATAAAAATATATTAGTTCCTAATGGTTCAAACATGTATATTTGATCTCATCTGCTTTTCGCCAAAAATATGATTTATTTATTTAATGTAGACATAATACTAATCTGATAAGATCTTGACATGATTCAAACTTCTTGTGTTCCTGAATACTAATTTCTATTAATCTATTTATGTATGAGGATCTAGTCATTCCAGGTAAAATAAATTTTCATATTTCGCTTGACCGTCCAATTTAAATATGCTTATAAAGTTATAAAAACATCACATTTTCTTTAAAATTTAACCTTCTGAAAAATGTAAGTGTAAGTATAAGTATTTCACTGCTTTATCCTTTTGATATAGATTACTGATTCTGTTTTGCTAAGTTCAAGTGTATTTGAAAAGAATAGTAAAAATAAAAACACCTTGAAAATTGGATAATTCATTTCCATACCGAAAATAAAATTAAGGTGAAGAGAATACAACAATTTTCCATAACGAAGGTACTGGTGTAAGCTATCATAAACACCTTGAGGGAAGAGTATAAATCATACTATATTGAATTTTTCCTCACTCCTTATTTCAGATCCTGATGGTTTATCTGTGACTGCCCGCCACTGGATCGGCGGCCTTATAGAACACCTGCCGGCAATGTTAGCTATTTGTTCACCAACCATTAACTGCTATAGAAGACTAAATAAGTTTTTTGCACCGGGTGCTGTAAACTGGGACTTCCGTGACAGGTTTGTGGCAATTCGCGTTAAAAACTTTGATGAAAAGAACACTTATATTGAAAACCGTATTCCATCATCTGCTTCTTGTCCCTATCATGTTCTTGCCGCTACATTAGCGGCTGGTATGGATGGCTTAGACCGTCAGCTTGAGCCGCCACCTCCTGGCCAGAAACCATCAGAAAGTAAAAATGGGAACCACGTGAAATTGCTGCCAAGTAGCTTTCAGGAAGCCCTACAAAATTTGAAGGAAGATAAGATATTTACAAAGAAGCTGGGGAAAGACTTTTTTGAATGGTATACTCTCGTGAAAGAACTCGGTGATTTGGGTTCGTTGGGTCATTTGGATATAAAGGATAATCAAGAGGAAACTTTGGCCTTCGAAAGATATGAATATCTTAAGTTTACGTAATAAGGAATATCTTTATGTAAAAATATTACTATTACGAACAATCAAATCTGTGAAATTAATTAAACTAACAAACATCCAAGTGATATCATAAGATTCGTAATTGTGTTTTATAGTTAAGTAAAACTTTTGTATACACTGAACAGCGTATGATGTATATTTCATTTAAGATATTAAAAGTAACTTGTTAACTATTCATCCTTCTTGCCCAATAATTTGTTTCTAATGCTATTATTTAGCAATATCATTCCCCCCTCCCAAAGAAAATTGTTTTATATATGACAGTTGACTTTACAAACTTTTCATGTCTTTTCGAAGCTATAATTTTATTTGTGATATTTTTTCTACACTGTTTCAAATAAATTCTGTTCACTGTTCTTTATTTACACTTTTATATTTTACTTGTACAAAAGTGGTTTTAGTGCGAAAAAAACACATAATGTTACCTTATTGTCCCCGTCTATTCAGAGAATAAAAAAAGTACTGTTTTTTTTGCTAATAGATATAGAGTTTCTTACTAAAAGTGATAGAAACTAATCTAATACTTCTCACTATTAGGAAATATTGTCCAATCTACATCTAAATGAATAGGTTAATATTAAAACTATTAGAAATCCTGTTTTAAGGACCATTTCTGATACACCTATCATTTTTTAGCATAGTGAATAAACTTAATCTACACTAATCCTCATCTTCATATCTTTTTATATTTGTAGGTTAGCTCTATGCAATACCCTAAGGATTAATTTTCATAGTACGCTTATTTTTACATAGTGAGCAGAAAATATAAGTAATTTTTAGTCTCCAGTTTTGTATCATATGTCTAGATTCCAGATTGTAAGAACTTACATGTCAATGCACTGAAAACGAATGACAGAACAGCTTCTTCTGACTTGTATTCTTGAGCAATGACCTTATCCCTGAATACAACTCTATCTATCATATTGACATATTAATATTAGAATCGAAATCTGTTCAGTCGTTTAATGTTTGTTACAAACAGACAGAAATCTACCCTTTGGTTTCCATTAATAAGTGAATCCAATTCATCACAAAAGATACGTTTTATCATACAAACTCGAAAGCCATAAAGCTCGGTGTATATAATGTATAAAAAACTATTATTAAATACTAGCTTTGTTTATGTCTTGACATTTATTTAACTGTCGATCATTACTAGTTTACTGAACATGTTTATTCGATAGTAAGTGACTTAGTTTCTTATTAAGTTGAGCATCATTCTTATTTTTTGTTTTTACCTGTCAGGATTATAGATGTGACATCTTTAACAGCTATATAAACATATAGATTAAATTTCAACTATATAAAGCCAACAGCAAATATCCGCCTCAGTTTACTTGTTCAAAGTGAACTGATTGAGTTTATCCACTGTTTCCGTTATTTAGCTCGATACAAGCTTGAAGAAATGTTATAATGATACGAATAAATCATGTACCTTTCTCAAATGGCGCTACTAAAGGTTATCACACGATAAAAACGTTTCAGAATATTTTGTGGTGAAAAATGGAGTATTTTATCTTGCTTATTATATGGATCTGAGAAATAACTACCTAAACACTTTGGAGCTTAGAGACGTGAACATTCAGAAAGTATCTGTTAGTCAATAGATTCACGTGAAGACAAATGCTGAGATTGTAATTTATAAAAGTAAACCTATGGATGAGCAGATGAACAATTATGCGTTGACATCTTTCAGACAGGTTTCACAAATGCTTAGGCGATTTCTGTGACGTACAATTCAAATCTCACCACCAACTTTCAAGAGAATGCAATGGCAGCAGAGTCACAATATCTGGCCAATTCATGAATCCATTTCTCCGTACACAGTTTTTTTGCGGATTAATAAATTCCAGTACAGAACCATGTTCTGAGATAGTCTTAGAAAACGTAACTTTTCATATTTGATTCTTTTATATTTGATTATTTGTACCATTAACAGTTTTCCGGTTTACCTTCGGATGTTGTGTTACATAATTTCCAAAGGTTACAAAGCTGGCATCTCTTTTGTAATTCTGAAGTTCATGGTAGTTTATTCACAATATTATTTGGCCTTTGAATGTTATGCTTATTATTAGTAGTTATAATGAGAGCTACTTTTCACCCTGAGGTTTTCGTGCTTTAACTAATTTTGCGAAATGTGTGATAATCATTAATTAAAAGGGAAATACATGACAATCCAGAAAATTTATTAACTCTTCTGTTGCCTTCAATTAACATAGAATTTTATTTTAACATTATACAAATAAATCACCTTTATTCTTGAATCATTTTAACAAAAATAACCAGATTGCCACATATTTAAATTATTCTACTTGCTTTTTACACTGAGTATCCATTGAGACTAAGAATTTGAAATTTTTCTTTTCTGTTTAGAGTTGACCTGCAAACTTTTAATCGCTGTAGATAGTAATTTAGTCAAATCTATCGTGACAAGATACTGAATAATCTGAGTATTGTTTGTAACTTACCTTGAGAACTTAGCTATTGAAAATATTTTCAACATTCCGAAATAAAGATACTGTGTGAAGCTCCATTCTAGCCTTGTTTACTACTAATGAAATAATGGATTGAGAAAAAGTATTCTAAAAAAGCAGACCGATAGGAAAATATTCATTCGATCGATTTTGGCTATTTTTTGGTAACAAAAGTTCCCCCTTGATGTGATAAATTTGTTTAGAACCAAATGAACTGAAAATTATTATTCAGAACTAGTAATGAGTTGGCAATGATATGGAGATATAATGTTTCTGATAAATTGTTAGTGTCTAGCAGCGAACCATTGATCTAGATAATAACATTTTTAGTGCTACCAACCAGTGAACTAATAAATCGTAATAACAGTTAAACGCATAAAAAGCTAGGAAAGCTTTTTGACTTGTCTAAGATGGTGAAAGTGAATTTTGATGAACCATCCAAGTAATTTGTTTTGATCAAGTCATAGATCATAAGATATACTAATAATAAAAATCTATTCTATTTGATTACTTAATACTCAACGAAATATTTTGTGTAAGAAAGTTGTGACTCAATTAAAGAAATGATTGGTGAAATTTTAGGTGAATTTTTCACAGCTCTTCTGTATTACAGCCAATAGAATGTCCCTGAAGCATAATCTTTAACTAACCAACCAATTTAGGTGACGGTTTTTAACCATGCCGAGTTACTGTAACTAAACATGCTTAATATTCGATTGCTGTTGAACCATAAACTGAATCAGCTTTTATTGAGAATGTCATGGAAAATGTGACTATGATAACATCTAGTAATAAATAAATAAACTTGGTACAATGCTTTGTGATAGAATATAAATTTTTATAGCTCGTGTCATCAATGTTCTTTCATTTTCATTGCAAATAATTCGTTTGCTTAAACTAATATTCTGATGTGAATTTATGTCATCTTCAGCACAGTTAAGTGTTTTCGCTTACTGAATATTTGATGTTTTACCTTGCTTTCACTGTAATATCCCTCGTCTCTGTTAATTACTACTTTTTTCACTATTAGTAGTAGTACTAACATTCAACATTCGAATAGCATTTCATTATAATTGATAACGGTTCTTCCTTCCAATTTTCTTCCCTTAAATAAAGTATGTCATCGCAATAAGACATGACTCATGGTTTTCAACATAATTTAATGAAAGAGACTTGTAGAGAGACTTCCACTTACCGCAAACGGTTACCAAACTTGGTACAAGTCACTAGGATATAATGAAGTTTTCGTTTTTGAATAATAGTTTGAAAAACATCATATGTAGCCTTTATGTTGTGTAGATAATGAATGGTTCGAAACACGCCCATAAATATATGGAATGACCATTGAACTGCGGGGTGAGCTACTAATGTCCACAGATATAAGTAGTATGTACCATCAATCGAAAGTGAAATGTCTGGCGGTAGAAAGTTAGGAAGATTGAAGAAAAGAGAGAGATTGGTGTGGAAACGGGGGAACAATCAAGTCTGAGACAATTGGTTGACACTTTTCGAATGAATTATTTATTGCATGGTTCTCAGATTTTACCGAGATTCTGTAATTTGTGTTCAGATATATTTGTTTATGCCCATTGATCTTTTCGGCCACTAATTCGTCTAATCAGCTGCCTAACGAACGACTTCTAAGATACACCATTTTACTGGGGAAAGGTCTTGCAATAAAAAGCATTAAACGAATTTTACTGAAAAGAATAATCAATGAGCTGAATAGATTCACAGACTTTGTGCGATGAAAAGCTGGACAGTATTTCAATACTTTAAAAAAAACATATAAACAGGAAAAAAATGTGAAACTGACTCACCTGACAGTCCAACCAGTTTGATGAAATGGAATATTTCATAATGGGAAGTAAATAAAAACACATAATCCCCACAGTACCGAGCAGAGATGTTATTTATCCTTTTTTTGATTGCAGTTGGTTCACGTTCAGATGGAAGCTAGTTTGTTCTCTTCCACAGCAGACTGTTGCTAATGGTATCCGACCAACGGCATTGAATATCTTTGTAGTGAAGAAGAACACGGGTGAGGACAGCCAAATTGTATTTAGGACAAATTACAGAATTACTTGGTAAAATAGAAAAACCATATAGTAAATCGTTAATTTGCAAAATATCATTCTATCATATCAAACCGGGCTGTTGCTGTTGCAAACATCAATCCATTGTCTCGCATTTCATTGCTCATGCAGTTTCTAACAAATTCCATTGTTTTCTCGCTCTTCTTTCTTGATCTTCTCCGTCTTCTGCTGCCAGACATTACGTTCTTTTGACTCACGTTATATACTACTTATATCAATATAAGTAGCACGCACCACACTCGTCCCCCCTTTTAACAAGTTGCTGTCGTAGTCTTTCTGATCTCCGTACCGCTGTGTTCTTTGGTGCTTTTCGTGATTCACATCCATGATGATCTTGAAACCATCTCTGTAGTTGACTAGCATTTACGCGCTTCTGCTTGTCTTCTCTCCGGATCGTGTAGACCGAGCCGCGTCTCTCCGTGATAACATACGGTCCTTCCCATTTTGGGGCCAGCTTCCCCGACCCTGCTCCCCCTGCAATGTTACTTTTTCGTTCTCTACACTTTACTAGGTCCCCCACTGCAAAGGGTTTCCACGTTCTCCTCTGTTGTTCTGCCTTCTTTGTGTCTGATATTTGTTTCTTTTCCACGTTCCTTATTGCCTCTTTCCT